TAACTGAACCAACAGGATGAAAGGAACGCAGAAACCTTGTCCGATTGATGGAACTTAAACTCAACAAAATTTAGTCATTTAGATTTCTCCTTTTACAAACTTGGGTTGCGCGCCAGCGCGAACCCATTTGCAAAGAATTTCAAAATTAACATTAACAATAGATATCACAGAGTGCCAAAGTGTGGAACTTTTCCATTCATTGTTCAAGTAGTTGGATTGTGAGGGTGAAAGGCTTTTGGATGCATAAGCTACAGGTTAACCATACTTGATGAGACATGCACCTAAACTTGTTGGAACATTTGGCAATAGCTATACGCTCTCCAAGCCCCCCTCCCAACTTCCCAGGTCAATGTTGTCATGTCCAGCGGAAGCGGCATGCATAGACCAAACACTGAAAGGGGATCCGACCATTTAAGACCTCAACAAAGCCACACAAGACCAGGACAAAACCAATACAGAGACCTCCAGTCAAAATTTGAAGTCGCATGCTATTCAAATTAACTGCAACAAAAGCATGCCTATGTCATTGTTCACTCAATTACTTGTGACTGGTCATATCCATGCCTTGTGCATGGTCTTCTGTCTGGGTTTTGTGGTTGTCTTGACTACAACATTGCCATTTATCCTTGTCAACTGGTTTCATGGTACGTACCGGTAGTATGTTAGCACTTGCACCAGTGAATCCGAATGGTTTGGTCAGCAAAATGTCCTCCAAGATACATCCATGCTTACTTCTGAGAAGCGCACTGCGTGTGGAATGACTAGACTGAAGTATTTTAGCGGTGCTGCTTCAGCTTGGAATGGAATACATCCAATGAAGAACTATTTACAACGAGAGCGGGTAGATTATTCCAGTCTTTTATAGTGGAAAAAACAAAATGAGTCCTGGAATGCTTTAGAGTTATAACAAATTTGTAGAAATTGTTTATCATTCCCACAAGTTTTTCTGGTTTTTGGCTGCGCGAACTCATCTGGGGTCAACGTCAACCAATCCGTGTTTCAACTTGAAGAAGCATGCAAAGTCTCTGGTTTCTCCTTCTTGACTGGAGAGTTTCCCAACCAAGCTTATTTAGGGCAATAGTAACAGAGCCCTCGACTCTATTATAGTTGGTAAAAAATCTGACAGCCTGCCGTTGCACTCTTCCCAATGATTGTATATTGGTTCTACTAATATCATGGATTGTCAAGATAAGTTGAGTTTCAGTTGATCTACCTTCATTTTGAGGAAGTGTCTTCGAAGTGTTACCACGTGCAGTCAAGAGACAAATAAAACTGTGCTAGGGATTGTAAACATACTTGGTGTGACTCCAAATGTTGAAAGCTATCAGACAAGCAGGCCTATAAGGCTACCTTGAATATTAAGTACAGTGTTTAAGTCTCATTTAAAAAAGTGCTGCATTCCCAATACCTATCCAAGAAACCACTGGACGAATGGGTGGTCACCGGGAAGAAAGGTTGTAGTGATTTGACAAGCAGGCCTAGGTAAGGCTTGTTCACATGTTTGCTGCTACACTCTCTGCAGTTGATCGTTGAGATACTCAAAGGGGTTATTGATTTCGGTGTCACGTCAACTCGCCCCCTGACCGACTCACCCCTTAACGACTCGCCCCCTTCCAATTCGCCCCATGACCGACTCGCCTCTTACCGACTCACCTCCTGGCCGACTTTCCCCCTCAAGCAAATATGACCGACCCCCCCCAAAAAAAACAATGGTTCTAACCAACGACGTGACACAAATGACTCACGGACGGTGATGGATACTTGGACATCACCACTAATCACTTATTTATTCAAAAGCTTCCTACGTCCACTGTCTGATTAGGTTATTTGTACATCCAACATACCCTCAGGATCAACAACTTCAGACCCTCCGTCCCATTAATATTTGGGTATGTGACTCTATCTTCTTGTAGTGACCCGATATCCAGTTAGTAAGTTAGTTATAGTGTTCTGTTGCTCATTCAGTCGACTGGGACCTCACATATACTGCGAAAATTGATTTAGGTTCTTGGATATACGCTTTTTGTGTGATGTATAAAGTCATAGTGGTACATTGTACACTAATGTAATTTTTAACGCCCCATTATTATTTTTTTATTTGCGTAATTTTTATTCCTTTTTTGGAGTTGAATATCTTTGAGATTGCTCTTAATTTGTTTACAAGTACCGGGCACCAGATGACATGACTGTTTTTCCATGACGTCATGACACGGACAGTGCATGCTGGGATATAATTCAATATGGCCGATCAACAATGTGATCCTCGATGACTGTACTCGCCGAAGAAATCAGTATTTAGTGTTAATTGTGAACTAATAATTGCATCCTGTGAAGTTATTGGAACCTGAAAGTGTGCAGCGACTGTTACACTCTTTGTCATAAATCATGTCTCATTAACACTTCCGTAGGTTTGCGTCGCCGGGCATTATGCCTAATATGTACCATTTTTTATCCGAAATAGTCCGCGAAGTTAATTAATTTGGTGGAGTGTTGGTGTTGTGGCTCACAAAATCTCATAGACAATACACAGGAAAGCTGTGCCATGGCCCATACACACGATAATATTGAATTAGTTTTACCAATATGAACAAAAATATTGTAACCCCCCAAATTCCACACAAAAGGAATATCCACCAAGCTTTAAACAAACTCGACTTTGAGTGCCTGCTGCAAACCCCGGAACCTATTTTTAAGGGCAGCAATCACCAATTTCATCTGACTGATTGTATTTTTATCAAATGGTGAATGGGCTGGCCATACATGCTTGGCAAACTTAGGGGGGCGAGTCGGTCATGAGGCAAGTCGGTCAGGGGGCGATTCGGTAACGGGGCGATTTGGCTAGGGGGCAAGTTGGCTAGGGGGGCAAGTTGGTGAGGGGCGAGCTGGTAAGGGGCAAGTCGGCCAGGGGGCGAGTTGACCTTCAATCCTGATTTCAGCTTAACAGTAATACTTCCATGATTCCATACTTCATGATTCGCCGCAGTGATGTCAATGATTGTTTACAAAATCAGTCAAGTTTGAATGGCAGTACATGTATATGAAACAATGTTACAATTTAGGGGAGGCATGTTGGTGTCTCCAAATTCAATAAGGGTGCTGTTAAAGGTGGTGGGTATGTCACTACCTCCCACAAATACACACATCTCAGAGCTGTAATGATTTTGGGGACGGATGAGGCAAACTGACCATGATGATTCCTCAGACTCACAATGCTTCAAATACACCCAGGTCAAGAGCCAACTTGATATTGAAGAATGCTGGCATTCCAGAAAAACGGGCGAGAGAAATGAAAGACACTTACTTTTCTCAAACGCTGTGTTGGACGAGCTGGCTGGTGCTTCAAAGAATACCAAATCAAATAAGGAGCGACGGATGTTGTCCAATTTTTTGATAATAATGTGATAATAAACAGATACGATACGATACCTCACTGACTACACGGGCAATCTACACCTTAAGTGCATCACCGAAAATCCAGGGAGACGGCACGTGTAACTGTCAGCTTTTCATGTGGTCAGAAGAAAGCTATGTTCTTACATCAAGTTGGTTCAGTTTGCGTCCCGAAATACTTACTTGTGTCAAAGACATCAGAACTTGTTGCTGAAACTCAAGGCTCTCAAAAACTTGGGAAACAGACAACCCAGACCAGTTCATTAAGGACAGCAATGCGCAAGACATAAATTTGCTGGCAATCCAAGCCAGATACATCAAATTTTTGGAATGGGCTTGCGTTACAGTAGACAATAGGAAAAAACAAAGCTCATTAAATTTTCCCTCAGCAGAGATGATTTCTGTGCAAGATTTACAAAAGGACATCCAAGAATTTTGGTTGCATGTTCTCTGCGTGCAGAACCACTATCGTGGCATGTCAAAATGCAAAGAAGTTTTCCCTGTGACCACTGCATTTTATACATATGGTTTTTGTTCCGTGCGTTCCACTTGAAGAAGTACAAAGTGGTTATAAGGTAACAAGACTTCGATTCATGCCGTTGTAGTTTACTACAGGGATAAAGACTGTAGGATAGTCCACAAAAGCCTAGCCTCAGTCTCAGGTGAAAGAGCCCACAATACATCCACAATACTTGCAAAAAATGCAAGTTTGATGCCAAAGTTGAAGGAAACTGTGTCAGTCCAACAGTCTGATTGCACAATAATAAAAAAAAGGACAATGTTTTCAGTGGTATGTGACCGCGATAAGTTGTTCGCCGGTGTAGAAGCACAGTGGGATTACTTCGAAGCAGGGCATGGGAAAGGAGCCTGTGATGCATCGGTGGTGCTGTTAAGGTCTGGTAGATGAAGCTGTCGCGAAAAAAGCTGCAGTGATACTGGATGCTCATTACTTTTTGCTTGGGCTTGCCAGGAGCGCCATGGAAAGGAGGGCAACAATATAGAGTACTTCTTCATCACAAAGGATGATTGCGTTGCCAGTGGACGGGCAATCGCCGATAAATGGTCCAACTTGAAGACATTTCAGGGCACACTTACCTCGCACTCTGTTTTGATTGATTGTCATTTAGTGATGAGGAATGACTCTTGCTAGTGCAGCAAGTGCTACAACATCAACAACGACCATGATAGGGATGTAATGTGTAGTGGTTGGACACTCTGGAACCTTCCAGAACAGATCCCTCAAAATACTGCCAACACGCCCAAACTAAACCAGAACAATTGGTTCGGACCACGGAGCAAAATCATCTACCGTACAGACGACTGGGTAGCAGCGGTGTACAACGAGAAGTGGCACATTGGACAGGTACATTGGACGCTGAAAACCTTTTCGTTAACTTTATGAAGCGCAATGAAGCGACAAGTTTTCCGAGTTCTTCAAATGACCCGTATTCAATCAGATGACCTGTGGATCCCTAGAAGCAAGATTCTATGCCGCATAAGTGAACCCAAACATACAGTATCATCAAAACATTTATTTCGATTGAAATGACATGGACAAGTCGGAGATCGAAGCCAACGGCAGAGAAAAACTGAAGAAAAACACTGACAAATTTGAATCGAAACATATGTCACCAGTTTCATACACAGATAACATATGTATGTTTATTATGAGATTGTTCTCATACTTTCCTTTTATAACTTCTTCTACTTGTAGGATTGTAGACCTACTTTTAGGTTGGTAGATCTATAAAATGCTAGTATAAGTTTTCATTCATTGGCAAATGAATCCTGAGTGCCAGTGATCCTAGAAACAAAGGGTTTTGGAAATAATGCCTTTGGTAGCAAACCTGCAATTACTGTCTTTTTTGCACGTTTGAACGCGTCTTTTTCAAATCAACAATGGTCTAGCAAACTATTATTACCGAAAGGATATTCTCTAATCATAAGCCAAATGTAATTAAAAGGAAACATACGTTACTAAAGTGCAAACATACGTTTCCACAGTTTGACTCGATTTTTCAATAAGCTTCTCTCACGAAAAGTTATTTTTACTGCTTAAACCGAAGTGTTCACAACGGTAGGCGTTCGAAAATGTCAGAAGAAGAAAATGAATATTTACAATTGTGTATAAAACTGACGACGTTTCTCCTTGGATTAACACTTCTGTGGTTTATTTTACTTATGCTACCCGTTAAGTTTTTCTAACATGTAAGTCATAATGTTGTCCTTACCGGTCCTTTCAGAAAAAAAATGCATTTGTGCAAAGAATAGTGTGGCAATTTTAAGCAGATGAAAACGAAAGAAGCGATAGGTAACGTGTTACTTTAGGGAAACTGTCGCCAGGTATACATGTGTTTGAGAGAAAAAAAAAGGGAAATGTGATGTGTTAAATGTTCATACTTCATGGAAATATTTTGTTTGGCATTAAACTCCAAACTTGTAACGTGAAGTTGAAATTTCAGATTTTCCTTTTTCCATTTGCGCTGATTTACTGGAAATTGGTCTAATGCATCATGAGTTGGAGTTGTACTGGTACATGTACATTGCCATACATGTATGTGAGCACAGATCACCAATTACAACTCCATTCATGTATATTGTTTCTGAATGTTATTTACATATTTTGGGGTTGGTACGAGAATCACACACAGAGTTTTAGCAGGTAACCTTTGTTTTTGAGCACGGTTTTGGGGCGCTTAGACAAATTCTGTAAGCAGCTCTGTGAAATTGGGCTGTGCATTTACGGCATTTGCTTATTCTTGATGCTTTTACATTTCATTACTGAGTAAATGCTTTTGCTGTTGTTGGTGCATCAAAACTGATGATCTTTCTCTTGCAGTATGAACGTATTTATGTATTTTGCCAAAAAGTCTAAAATGAATATACAAAGTTTTGGAACTTTACCTTAATACTGGTTTGGTAATGATATGGCAGATTTAATAAAAACAATCAGTTGCAAAAAAGTTTGTAGATCCATTGTTCATATTCATTTAAACATTTTGACACACAAATTTGACTTTTTACCCAGACATAAAGTACTCTGACTTGTACTCGTAATTTACAAATACTCGTACTCGGAGACAGGAGTGCTCAATCTCATACTCGGAGGTACAAGTACACGTACTTAAAAATCAGTTCTTGTACTTGGCTTGTACTTGGGAAATTAAAGTACTCTGCAGTACTCGGAAAAAAGGTACTCAACTACCACACCTGAGTTTTCTGAGAGGTGTGAAGCTCAAGATGCGGAACCGAACCGACATTTGACGCGGATCTGGTGGGTGGTGGCCCTCTTCCAGAAGTTGAAACCAGGTCTCAGGATTGTCCCCTGATGACTGAATAATAGGGCAATAATTGTATGCACTGTCCGTTTGATTTTCACGAAGATTCAACCACAACTTTATCCCTAACCCCCTGGGGTTGTATGTAAAATCGTACGGAACCTGAGGATGTGGGACTTTCAGAAGAGTTGTAGAATTGCTATGGAGGTTAGAAAACATGGATGTGGAGTAAGGGCGAATTAAACTTGGATGAGACATTATATTTCTGTTTGCAGCAGATCACAGTGCTTTTCCGCATTCCTAAAACTATGCTAAAACTGAATTTGCTATTGATGTATGTAATAACATCAGAAACAAATTCCAAGGATATCATCGTGACATCTCTTCGTATATAGAATAAGGAGATTGGGTTGGACCTACCCTGTAAATTTGATGATAATCAGAAACTTTCTTATGTGAAACAAAATTGTAAGTCACACAATTTTCCAAACTACCCAGAATTTTTTAAATACTTTTAGTTTACAAGACATGTTGACAAGAATACTGAAAAATACACACACAAAAAAAGAATTTAACAAGATGCCATTTTAGCCATTGTGATATTTACCCTGACCTATCAGGCTTTAATGCGAAAGGCTTGTGGGCTCATCCAAAGAATGCACAAAACACTTTTGAAGTTCGTATACAAAATATGTCTAAAGTTATCACCCTGAAAAGGTTTCTATTGTTTTAAGTCATTGTGACCTTGAACGTTGACCATACACTCCCAGGTGCAATAGGCTGCTTAAGATCATAAATACCAATCCATAAATCAAATTTGAAGTTAATTCGTAAGATATTTCTAACTTTATAATGAAAATTTCGATTGTTTTAGCTGTTGTGACCTTGACTTTTGGTTTTTGACCCAAATTCAATAGGCTTCTTAGATCACCAAGAATAACCCACAAACCAAATTTCAAGCTCATGAACAAAGTATTTCTAAAGTTATTGTGTTAAGTGTTTGAGAGTTCAAACCACTTCTTTTGGGGAGAATTTCATAACTGTACAAGCACCTCAATGATTGGGTTCCACAACTTGTGGCTGTTATGAAGAAGTGGCAGTTGCAATGGATGGTGCTGCTATCATTAACACTACCTTTGGTTTTTAGCTTTAGAAAGACAACTTAACGTTGAGTTGTTTTTAAACACTGCTGTTTCAGCTGTAATCTGGGCTCTGCACTCTGTTCTGCAACAAGTTTGACAGGCCCGCTCTCCTTGACAAAGCGATACCACTCTTGATTTATCGTTTTGTTCCTTGCCAAAGTAAAACTCAGGATTTTGGTCGATATTCCGCTGCAGGAAGCCACAACACAATTCCAAGGCATCCTGGCATGATTTCTCAATCAGGCATAACGTGAAAGCGGAACACTGTGTACATGTACATGGTGCACGTATTGTATTGTAACTGTACATGTATTATGTGATGTCTCTGCAGTTGCTGTGAAGCACCCTCGTTGGTGGCAGTGAGCAGAAATGTAGAGCAAGTGCAATTTTTGAATATTTAATTAATGATTTTCTTTTGTCAATTATTTAATATCAGTGGCTAAAAACTGGCAATTTTGTACACACAGTCAGTCTTACATACTTCATTAACAACACCATTCACTTTTGGATGGGGATTACTAATGGGCTTTAAGGACAGGCAGTAACAACAGATCAAGTGTGCTACATGTGATTTATCTGGGTGAATGTCAAAATGTCACACCCCTTTGGCAAAAGGGGTTTGAAAATGTGTCATGGGCACTCTTCTCAAGAAAGCTGAATTCAGACAGAGGTCACTAAGTGGCTTGGAATAACAGAATGATAGAAGTATGCTAGGTCTGAATTGGAAGTGCATTAAGTAGGTTTAATAATAACTTGGTATCCCAAGTAATAGAATGTAGTCTACCATATCTAAGATTTTCATAGACCCAATGCATACCTGCTTATATCAGGCTAATCTTACCGTTAGATCCTACCTGGTTTTTTTTAAAAATCCTATACATGTACTCAAATTACAGTCCACGAAGTACCAAATTTCAGCCCTTTTCACCTGTGTCTGTGTGCAGCAGGTACGTCAGAGGACTTAGTCCGTTTGTTTCTGTGATGTGGAAAGGTTGGCATCAATTTGGGATCACACGCTGTAACAAATCAAAAGACAAATCAAACCATTTCTATTGGTAACTTTATAAACAGTTTTCAAATAAGAATCCCATTAATCCTCTGTGGATGTCTCCAACTTATTCTCAGACTGAAATAAATTACCGTGCACACACGCTTCAGTTTGTCTTCTGGCCACAGCTTTGTTTTATTTCCAATAACTCTTTGAATATTGCCAGATACCAGAAGTTTTTTGGGCAAACTGGCAACAAAATTGCATTTTAATCGGGCACACCAGACCCAGCCATGAAATAGGGCACACCAGGCCCACCCAAAACACAGCCCCTTAGACCGTGTTAATATTCAGGGCACACCAGACCCTGCTACAAGTATGGCTCACCAGACCATCATAAGTGTAATTAGGGCGCACCAGGCCCACCATAAATATGGCACACCAGGCCATCAAAGTTAGGCCCCACCTGGCCCATCATTATACAACTCTAAACATGGCACTGTAGCCCCTGTTAATGTAACACTTATAATACACCTGGCTCACCCATAACTCCTGAATAACAATTGGGCACACCAGATCCTAAAATCAGTAAAAGCGAACAGTCATGTTAACACCCATTAATTATTAACTCTGTAGTGAAAACACTAAAACTGAATTATTAAATCTGCAGGCACCCGATGTTCCCCTGTTGGAGACTTACGGGAGGAATGGCCCATGGTGAACATCCATGGAGCCATTCTAGTGCCTGTCACAAATCATTGAGATTACAGCCATAATGCTTCCATTGTATGCTCTAGCAGCTGTAACTGGTAAAATAACTTTTTTGGCCATTAAAATAGACCATTTCTTGACCGTATGTGTCAGAATTCTCGCCAAAAACTGCTTCAAAGTGCCAAGCTGACTCAAATCTAGATGCAGGCTACGATTCCCCCATCTGAACCGCTGAAGGAAAGCAATGGTTCTTAGTGTACATCTAAGAAACACAAAACCAAATATTTGCGATAGTGCAAAGCACAATGCCAACATTTCGTTCACACCATAATATGTTACTAAACACAAGGTGGAGATGAGGCGGAGGCGGGTAAACAAAAGTTTGGAAGTTGCACCATCTATTAGATCTTTACCATATAAAGGCTGTGACAAAACTGACCTTAAACTACATTCCCTAAATCCATCAAGCCATGCCTCCCATTAGGAAGATGTCCCATTGGTTAAAAGCTTGGTCACAGAAGTTCCCTTATTGGTCTAAATTCTCTAATGTAATGTTTTCTAAAAATTTTCTCAGACCTTTAACCAAGATGCATCCTTCCAATTTCACACATACCTGCAGATAAGGAAAGCTGGTAAAAAATACTACCTAACAGTTCAAGTACGACTTCTTGGTAGCTAAGCATAGGAGGGATTTCTCAGTTTTTCTCGTCTAAATTTGCAGTAAAATTGGATCATTTAGCTTGTCAGCTTCACAGAGCCATGCTAACCACACAATATTGCTTGCAAACTGTTATAATACATACCAACTATTACACACAGGAGAAATATACACATACATGTAAGTACCAGAAACCAATTGTAAAGACCTTCACGAAGATGTATGTTTTCCACACTCTGCCTACAGCACTGGCAGAGCCCAATGAATATTCATCACAATGTTGCCCCAAAGCAGCTGATTGGCTGCCTACCACAGTACAGGATCCCTTGTTGACACAGAATTGCTTATGGCATTCTGTGCAGTAAATAAGCAGTACATCCAAATACATGCATTACTTACACATCCCACACTCCGGCCTATAGGATCATCTATATCCTTAGGCAATACTAGTACCAAACCCCATCTCCGTTCACAAGCTGCCTTTACCAAACAAACGGTAGTCAACCTCAGCCAACGCAACCTATCTCCAGTTGAGACTAAGGTCCTCTCATTGGGTGAGAACTTCGCCCTAGTACCTAAGTCCTCACCGGTAGAAGAGATCATTCAAGCTACCGAACCAGCTCTACGCCACCTGGCCAAGTCTGCTGCAGACGATGTCAGACTCCACATCAGCCAAGCCCTCAGGTACCACAAGCCTGCCAAGCCCAACATCACCAAGCAAGAACACTCAGCCCTCATCAGCCTATGTCGAGATAAGTCCATCCACATCTTGACTGCTGACAAAGGCAATGCCACAGTCATAATGAACAAGGCCGACTACGACAAGAAGGTGTGGGACATCCTGAAGTCGGGTACATACCGTCCTTTCCGCAAGGATCCTACCCCGTCTATACGAAAGAGAAAAAATGGCAAACTACTTGCACTCCAGCATTCTGGGCATCTTCCCATGATCCTGTACC